TGGTTTGAAATAATTCAAGGTTCAAATGATTAGAATATATCACACTTCAAAACTCAATTCACTTCAATATTCAGGGTGACTCTTCTACAAAAGCTAACTGAGTGACGTAATTAGGAACAAATGGAATATATTTCTCTTGCTATTCTAGTGTATGTAATACTGTTTTCCACATAAATTAAGTTTGTATATTAATAGGTGGTAAATATGATTAGCTTCATTTTACTACTGAAGAAATTAAGAGCCAGACAGGTTAAACAACTTATCTATGGTTCAACAGCTAGCTGGGGCTTGGATGTGAAGTCATATCTGATTTCCAAGCCCGTGTTCTTTTTCCACTATATGACATGGCCAAGACTGTGTGTACCTCTATACCTAGAACAGAAATCATCCATGTACTTGTAGAAGCACACATTCACACATACACACTTCTCTCTCCCCCTCTGTCTCTCTTCCTCTTTTCTCCCCTCATGGGAGGGGTGGGAGAGAGAAAGAGAGAAATAGAGAACTATAGATGCTAGCTAGGTAGATAGAGCTAGATATAGAGATATATTTGGATTCATTTCCCTTTTATTTATAACTTTTTAAAAAGTCCTCACCCCAGAACATGCTCTTATTGATGAGAGAGAGAGAGAGAGAGAGAGAGAGAGAGAGAGAGAGAGAGAGAGAGAGAGAGAGAAAGAGAGAGAAACATTAGTGTGAGAGTGAAACATTGATCAGTTGCCTCCTGAACAATCCCAGGATTGTTCCTGCAATCTGGGTATGTGCCCTGACCAGGAATTTAAACTGAGACCTTTTGGTGTACATAATTATGAACCAATTATCTGAGCCACACCAGCCAGGGCTATTTACCACTTTTGATAATGATTTCAGAAAACACTTCAGGGAGATACTTATAAATCAGAGTAGAACCAGATTTTTTTTTTAGCAAGAAAGCATTTTACATTGTCATATGAGGGATTAAGCAATAGTAATAATAAATGTTTTCAGTTAGATTTCAGCATAGATAAAATGTTTGGCTTATTTGAAAATAGCTATCTTTTTCAACCTGTTACATCCTTTTAATGTGTTCTTTTGCTGCTATCAACTTGAGAGCAAAGGGGAATCCGAGAAGGAGGGGAGAGATAGAGAAAGGGAAAGAAAAAGTAAAAGAATAGAATAAGAATTAGAATAGAATAGAATAGAATAGAATAGAATAGAATAGAATAGAATAGAATAGAATAGAATAAACTGGCTCCCTAACACCCAGGTAGTTGAGTAGTTAAATCTAGGTTAAATATAAAGCTTTATGTTTCAATTGATAAAGAGGTCACTAGGCCATTAGGTAACTGGTTCAAACATCAAACATTCTTGCTCCACATCTCAAAATATCTTTTCACCCCAAAGGTGCTTCTGCACAGCAGCCCCAGAGGTGGCCCCAAAGGCTAGAATATCCATATCAGGCAAATCTCAAGGAAGGATTTTCAGTTACTAAAAATTGAGGAGCAGAGTTCTGAGATGTTGGAATTAGGAAGAAACCTCCATCAGCAGAGCTCCCCCAATCCAGCAAGGGAGACTTGGAGCCTGAAAAATTCCTCATGAATGCAGCTGCCAATTATTGTTCCATTCAGTCTTTCCACCCCTTACCATGAAATTTACAAACTGCTCCTCATTTTCTCCCTAGAATTGGAATAGATAAATTTGCACTCGAATTTGTCTTCTGCTAATGTAGCACCACAGGACTGGAGTTCATTCTAGAAACTCATATAGGAGATACAAATGTCTAGTTTATGACCTGTCAGATTGTTTAAAAATAACTGTACCCCAAAGGCACATGAGGGTCATAAAAGAACCTAATAATAATCCTAACAATAAAAAGAAGTGAAAACAGGAACTTTCTCAAGACTACAATAACTTACCCGGTTGGTGTGGCTCAATGGTTGAGCATTACCTATGAACCAGGAAGTCATGGTTTGATTCCTATCATGGCATACGCCTGGGTTGCAAGCTAAATCCCCAGTGGGATTTCCCAGTGCAGGAGGCAGCCGATCCATTATTCTCTCTCATCATTGATGTTTCTATCTCTTTCTCTTTCTCCCTTCCTCCCTGAAATATATATATATATATATATATATATATATATATATATATATATATATATGCCGTGTTTCCTCAAAAATAAGACATCCTCCGAAAATAAGACCTAGCGCATGGAAAGATAAGACATCCCCTGAAAATAAGACCTAGGGCAACTTAGGGAGAAAAAATTAATATAAGACACTGTCTTATTTTCGGGGAAACAGGGTATATATATATATATATATATATATATATATATATATATATATTTATATAAAAAACCTACAATAACTCAAGCTAAAGCTTGTAAAAGCAAACAAACTCTTGAGAGTGTATGGAAGGGTTTCCTCAAGTGTTTCATGTTCCATCTGTTAAACTGTTAATTATCAGGTCTGCCTGAGCTTATGAGAAAATCTGCCAACTCTATTTTTTTTTTCAGAGAAGAAAAGGTACATATTTTAAGGGAAAGAAAGGTAATGACTGCCTTAGTTATTTTTATTCAGATGACAAGAAAAGTCATTCCAAATACAAATACTTGGGATTGACATGGAAATCGTATGTGTCTGTAAAGGGCAAGACAATCTTTGAGAATCCTCTGCTGGCTGGATCCCACCGTGTGACGGACCAAAAAATTTTTCTTGACATATCTTTCCTTGGCTCAGCCACCTAAACAACTTTTATGCAAATATCTTAGCCTCCTTTTAATGATCTTTTGAAAGAAAGACACATTTGAGAATCTACTAAGAGTTGTGGACCTTGCCCTGGAAGCGCTCTCTCTCTCTCTCTCTCTCTCTCTCTCTCTCTCTCTCTCTCTCTCTCTCTCTCTCTCTCTCACACACACACACACACACACACACACACACACACACACACACACATTTCTACATACAATGTTAGGGAATTCATAGATCTATTAGAATGTATACATAGATAAGCCAGGCCCTGGGGCTCTGCATGGTGCAGCTGATTTCAAATACCTTCCCCCAACACAAGCCGAGGGCCCTCAGCCACCTAGGAGGCAACCCACAGGTGGTGGTGGGGGCACAGGGAGGAGGTAAGCCTGACATGCATAGTGGCCGAAACAGCCAACAGGGCAAACACTGGCCCTGCAGACGGTGCAGACCGGGACACCCCAGTTCCCGGTCTGGGAGGTGGTAGCCCAGGGTCCTCGCATCTACTTTCAGAGCACCCCTGGTACTGCAGGTGAGGGCCCGTGGCAACCAGAGGATAATGCCCCAGTGAGGCACCAAGGGAAGGTCACAATCAAGTATCGATACAAGTGCAAGGAGTTAGTTATGGAAGTGCCTCAACCTGGAGGACTGGATCCTGGAACAGCTCACTCGCCTCTAGGACTGCCAGGAAGATATCCTGGGGCTGGAGATTTATGTGGATGAAGGACATAAAGAGTGATGCCAAGTCAAAGAGCTGCTGGTTGACTGTTACAAACCCACTGAGGCTTTCATCTCTGGCCTGCTGGACAAGACCAGAGGTATGCAGAAGCTGAGCATATCCCAGAAGAAATAAGGGTCCTCAACCCATGAATGGTGGTTCACTTAGGGTCCTCTTCCTACCCCCCGTCTTCCATTTTTGGATTTTCTTTGTTATTAAACTGATAGGAATTTTTTTTAAAAAGAACTGCCTCATGGTCAAGGAGAAAAAATAATTAACTCTTATTAGGTTCTTATATGTCAGGCACTATTCTAAGTGTTTTATGTAGATTTTCTCAATCATAACTACCCCATAGGGTGAAGACTACTGTTCTTTATTTTAAAGATGAGAAAACAGGGTCAAATAAAGTCACTTGCTTCAGGTCAAACAGCCAGAAAATGGCAGAGCAAGGGTTCAAATCCAGACCATCTGACTTTGGAGTTTCTCCTCTTAGCTACAAAGTCACAGCTGTGAAATAAAACAAATAAAAGTAATTTTCCCCCCTAGCCGGTTTTGCTCAATGGATAGAGCATCGGCCTGCGGACTGAAGGGTTCCAGGTTCAAATCTGGCCAAGGACATATACCTCAGCCCAGGCCCTGGTCAGGGCTCATGCAGGAGTCAACCAATCGATATGTCTCTCTCACAACAATATTTCTGTCTTTCCCTCTCTCTCTTAAAAAAAAAAAAAAAAAAAAAAAAAAGGAAAAAGGAAAAATATCCTGGGGTGAGGATAAATAAATAAAATAAAATAAAATAAAATAAAATAAAATAAAATAAAAGTCTTTTTTTCCACACAGAGTATGATTGTAACAGCTTCCTTTTTTGTGTGGGGTTTGGGAGGAAGCATGTGTTTGATTTGCCTCTCCAGAGATCTGAGAAAGTAGGAATAATAAGGCACTGGGTGAAGGAAAGATGCTTGGCCGAGTAGTACAGACCCACTACTAATCCTCTTCATAGCACAAAACAAACACTGGGCAGGTCCTCTACTTTGCTTCCATAGACTAGACCTATGGCACTGACATTAGCCCTTGAGTTTTGAGATCTTGATCCAGTAGTTGACATTAGTCCCAGAATCTCAAACCTAGATATCTATAAAGGCCAGGAAAGTGATGCAAATGTGAGATGCAGGCTAATGTAAGACGGTGAGCAGGGGAGGGACCATGACCAACTGGAAAGTGTGTATCCTGTCTCAATACATTCAAATTTAGATAACAAAAATCCTGTGAGGACCAAATACAAGAAATTCAGCCTGTGGGCTACAGTTTGTGACCTCTGAGTAGACAGTTTCCTTCCCACTGTCCAAGTATTTCCAAGTCAGAAATATAAGGAATGCAATCTGTAAACAAGAGACACCAGCTAGCTTGTGTGACAGTCTGTGTTAAGGTAATTTCCATTCCACTAGAGCCATGTTTTTATGTGCTGGTCAATGAAGCAGTAGGTCACTAGAAGAAAGATCCACACACCAGAGAGGAAAGGAAAACCCCTCAGGCAGTAAATGACAACACACATCACATACCTCATACATAGGGCACATTCAAGGTCGGTTGCATCAAAAGATGGGAGTGGAATACTGACAGCAGGCAGGTCCTCCAAATCAGCAGGAGGTTCTGTGATTTAGAAAACAGTAAGTCAGAGCTGGACCAACCTTGGTTTCACAGACAGAACTTGTGAGGCAAAACACACACACACACACACACACACACACACACACACACATATACACACACCAATTATTTCTCTTCCGGGGGGTTGATTTATTGGCCACCTGACCCACTGAGAATGAGATACCCTGAAGTAGACTCTTGAGATGTCTAGAAGCCCCACAGAAAGAGAAGTGCAAGTCAGGGAATATCCAGAAGCCCGGTGGACTTCATTCAAATGCAACAGACACCTCATGCAGCAGGAGCAGCAGTGACAACTCCATGGACTGAGCCAGGCCTTCAAAGCTGATAGTGACTCTTGGCACTGCCCACTTCTCTTGGAAAGCTATTGGGCTGCAACTACTGCTTCTCAGATTCCTGCCTACAGAAACACATCTGGGAATGAGCACAGTGTGGCCTGATCGCACAGTTCTGGTCTTCTGTTCCTGGAATAGGCATGGGGGTAGGGAGAGGTTGGCCTGGCAGGAAGTGACACCATTAAGGGCATTGGATATCATTACTTGAGTCTGTGCTTGACCTTATGCCTTGGCTTTCCATTATAATTATTCTTGAGCACTGGCAGTACGCTGGGAACTATGCATGCTCTCACGGAAACTTCGCAGCAATCCTGAGGTGCCACAGCCAAGTTCGAGAGCTGGGCCACACACCCAGAGCCTAAAGAACCCTCATACGGATAGCAAGTAACCTTCTTATACTGGGGAGCCCAGCATCTCCTCCAAGGCTCTTTAGCCCTGGGTAGAGTCAGTACCTGGCTTAAAGACTTTAGTAGGAACGTCTGGGTCTTTGGGTTCAACTTGAAAATGTTTCCTTTTCCTTTCCTGGCTTTTGCTAGTCTGTCTGGATGCAGCTTCTGGAGAGGCAGGGTACCCCTTTTCCTCCTCTTCTTCCTGGTCTTTCGTGGTACCTTGCTGCCCATGCTCCTTTACTTCCGCAGGATTCATCTGGATGTTGTAGTCCCCACTGGCTGCTCCTTCCTCCTGTCTAGAACAATGGGGGAGTTCCTCATTTTCCTAGTGGGATAAAGAGCCAAAAGTCAGAATTTACTAGGGATCAATACTGTCCTCTGATATTCCCACCACAGGAGACAGAGAAAACTTCACAGTCCTGAGTGGACACATGGCTTAATGGGAAAGGGGCAGTCAAAAGGCATATTTCCCACTTCTGTCCACACAGCATCAGTGACAAAGGCATGCCTAGCTTAGGCAGAGTTGGGGGACTTGCCTAGGCAAGGACAGAAAGGCATGTAAGAGAGAGATTCCTTGGGTAGTGGTGAAGGTGAGAAATGTAAGATGTAGCACCAGTCCCCTCTCCTATCCAGATCATTTCCCAGTTACTACATTAGGGAAACCAAGGCATGCAGAGAGGGTAGATCCTGTCACTCAGTGCTTCCTCTCACCCTATAGCACAGCTCCACAAGGACTTTTGGGAAGGCTCTAAAACAGGCGTGTCACAGACTTGCAGTTACCTCATGCTCCAGCTATAGGTTATGCTGCTCAAATGAACTAGGGTCCAACTATTTTCTTCACTAGACTTTGGGGGGAATGCTGAAAGAGAGGCAAAATCATTTGGCAAAATGATCAATAATGTCTCTAGTCTTTTAAAGAATATTTGTCCAGGGTTACCCATTTTGGGAAAACTCTCCAGGCGTGAATTTGTATACACTTGCAATAAGTTCCCACACCTTTGCTTAAAAAAAGAAAGAAAAGAATGTTTGTCTAGGAGAGGAATACTTAAAAATGGACCTAGAAATAAGTCCAACAATACCTTGAGAATCCCTCTCTATTGTAAACCCATAGTCTACAGGTCAAAACGTCCATGTTCTTGTTTCCCCTCCAATCTGTACCAAAAACATTGGTAGATAGATGAAAAATGAGAGCCACAGAGCTGGGAGAAAACAATGAGGTAAAGAGAAAAGGATGTGGGCTTTCTCAGTATCCAACCTGGGGAGTTGAGAGTTATTTAATTGTGTCCTTAACTTTCCATGAGCCTCAGGCATTGGCTACACAGGAGTACACTGGTTTGCAAAGCCAAGTCTGGTTGGAAACCCCATCCCTGTTCCACAGCTGGCTCTCACTGGAAAGCCAGGGGTGCTCTTTTTTCTTCAGTTTGGAAGGAGGAGCAATTAGAAGCCACTCCGGGCACTTAAGTTCAGTGTTAGTGTTCTCAATCATGTAATCATGACCTCAAACAATTATTGAAATGCACTAGGGCAGTGGTCGGCAAACCGAAGCTCAGAGCCAAATGCAGCTCTTTGGCCCCTTGAGTGTGTCTCTTCCACAAAATACCATGTGCTGGCGAGCACGTACAGTGCAATTGAAACTTCATGGCCCATGTGCAAAAGTTGGTTTTCGGCCTGGGCGAGTCTATTTTGAAGAAGTGGTTCTAATGCTGAGCCACACTTACAGGGCCAAGAACCGCATGTGGCTCGTGAGCCACAGTTTGCCGAACATTGCACTAGCGGTTCTCTGATTTCAGGAGATGCTCTTTCAGTTCTGCCTCCACCTCCCCCTATTTTTTTAGTTGGACACACCTGCATTTTATTCCTTCTCCTGAACAGGAAGAGAAAAAGGGAAATGTAAGATTTCTACCTGCCAGAGAATCTAAGCCACGGAGAACCCAGGGCTGACATACAGGGAAGAACACAGAGCACAAATGCAGTGGGGACTGCAGCCCCAAGGGGCTGAGGCAGTCAGCACTAAACTCTGCCTTCAAGGATGGATTTCTGAACCCCAGCTGCTGCGCACTTGCCTTCGAATTGGAAAGCCAGGGTCTGGAACCCATCTCTCCATGGTTCTGTTCCCTTGTATTCAAAGAAAGGCACATATACCTTCCTCCAAGGACCTTAACCCTTCTCAAATCACTTCCCTTTTCTCAGCCTCCAATATGTACCAGAAATCTACTTCTGTGTAAGACACGGTACAGGAAATTTCCTCCACTTGGGGATCAAATGAGAGTTCTCTTTACACAAGGAATTCAGCTGGTGCTCAAAAGCCAACAGCTTGAACAAACAAAAAGCAAGAAGTGAGGGTCTTTATCAGCCCAGGCTCCACCCCTAGGTTGATAAAGCCACCTCATTGAATGGCTCCAGTGGAAGTTGACCAATTCCTTTCTAGTTCTATCAAATCTCTCTCATCTGGATTTAACCAAGAACTGAAAAAATGAATGTAACAAATCATAAACCCTGGGACCATGCCTGAAATTCAGTTTTTATCATTAAAAAATAACCTTCTGCCCAACCAGCATGGCTCAGTGGTTGAGCATCAACCTGAGGTCACAGTTCCATTCTGGGTCAGGGCACATGCCGGGTTTCAGGTTCAATCCCCAGTGTGGGGCATGCAGGAGACAGCTGATAAGTAATTCTCTTTCATCACTGATATTTCTCTGTCTCTTGCCCTCTCCCTTCTTCTCTGAAATCAATAAAAATATTTTTTTAAAGAAGAAGAAATAACCTTCCAGCAAAGAGCATAACCAATCCATTTCTTATTTCTCAGGAACCGAAGTAAGAGAGGTAGGGCTCACTCCCCAGGTTTGCCCACAAAACAGCCAAAGGAAGCGTCACAAACGAGCTGGATGAATTGAGTTTTACCTGTGACAACTTTGGTAGATTATGGCTGTCACCTACAGTAGCCATTGACTCTACTTGTTCCTTTAATCTAAGCTGAGGTGCCAACAGCTTCAGGATATTGGGAGAATGTTCCTGAGACTGATGGTGAAAAGAAACTAAGGAGAAGCTGTGATATAAAACAGAAGACTTCACTACTTAAGTTCTACAGGTACTCAGGTGGAGGGAGAAGGGGAGAAAAGGGTAGAGGGCAAAGGTTGCAAGGCAAAACCCTAGGGATGAAGCCTTGGACCAGATAGACCAGGGCAGACCTCACTTCACCAAATCACCCAGGAGCTTATTTAAAAGTCCAGGTTCCAAGTTCCCATGCCTGGATCCCCAGATCTGAAGTGTGGTCCAGGAGTCTGCATTCTGAAAAGGCATCCCAGATGCCTCTGCGACCCTGGTCAAACTTAAAAGGCTATCACTGCAGTGCTATCTTTCCATAGAAATATCTGCAGTAGGATTAAAAAACATGTGTAGGAGAAAAGAGTCAAAGAGGTGAAGGCAGGAGACAAAAACATCAGCTGGGGGACCTAGAGCCATGTCCACAACACCCCAGTGGGTAGAAGTCTACAACTGTCTTTTAGGTTCTGATATTTCTTTTCTCTACCTACCCATTTTGCTCCCTCTTTCCCCAGCCATCATCCCTGGGCTTTTATCCCTTCTGCACTGAAGTGTTAGAAAAAGCAGAAGCCGACCTTCCTCTCTCTTTTCCCAGCCTCTCCTCCCCCATTCTGACCTTCACTTTCCAGAGAAAGTCAAGGAACTTCAAGTACTAATACTGGGGCAGATTGGTTCCAGTGTATGGCCAGTTCCTTTGCAATTGCATAAGCCCATTGAGTGAGAAGATCCAGAAGGGATTGGACTCAACCATGGGTGCCCACATTCTTGCCTCAATGTGCCAGCAGGGATTATGACTACATGTGTGTATAACACAGGACAGGTCATTTGGCTTCCAAAACACACTCAAATTTTTCCACCCAGAGCCCCCTACAATGTTTGGAGATCCACTAAAGGATGCTCCACCCCATTGCTCAGTTAGGGTATTAATTAATCAAGAGAGCCTAACAGGAACTCTGACCAAACTCTTCAGTTTGATTTGCTCCCTTGCTGTCCACCCCACCCCCCCCCCCCGCCGAATTCCTTTATGATGTTTCTTCAGATAACCAATTCTGCTTGGCCTTCAAGGCTCATTCCCCTACTACTCCAGTCTCCATGATGCCACTTATCCTTTCATGTTCTCCACTGTACCATAATACAGCACCTTACATGACACAGTCTTGTGTTAGCCTCAAATGGTATCGTAGACCTGTCTTTCTCTCTAACCAAACGACCAGCTTCTGGAAAGCACAGGACAGGTGCCCAACAGATACTCATCATACTAGATGGAGTTGAATTAGCTCACTTATCCACCCCAGGGCCCAGGGAGAGGCCTTGGGTTCAGGCCCAACATCCTCAGACATCCCTGTTTTCCCTCTATTTCTGGGGAACCCACTTCCCAGATCTAAGTTGGGAAAAGAATGAGGTAGAAAGGCATTCACAGTGCCTAGGGTCATAAATGCCAGTTTTCAGAGCCCTCTCCTCCACAGAAGCCAAATCTGGCTCACAGAAGCCCTCCTGAGTGACCCAGCAGGACCAACCCATTTCTGAAGCAATATCCCTTACATTCTCCCCAAAACAGCGTGATGTTCTTCAATAGTCTCCACATAGCACTAAAATGTGAGGGTAAATGTACAGAGTGTGGTGCGAGGGAGCAGAGGCAGAAAGGAGAAATGGAAGGAAACAAGGCAGAACTGATCCGGGACACCCTTCAGGGCAAACCAGCCAACCCCTACCCATGTACCAGGCCTCTATCCTATCTAATAAAAGAGTAATATGCAGATTGACCACCATTCCAACACACAAGATGGCTGCCCCCATGTGGTCAAAGATACTGCCCCCATGTGGACACAAGATGGCCACTTCAAGATGACCAGCTGGGGATGGCTGTTGGGAGGGACCAGGCCTGCAAGGGAGGCCAGTTGGGGTGATTAACCCTGCAGGGGAGGGAAGTTAGGGGTGACCAGGCTGGCAGAGGAGAGAAATTGGGGGCAAACAGGCTGGCAGGGAAGCAGTTAGACATCAATCAGCTGGCATGGGAGTGGTTAGGGGGTGATCAGGCTGGCAGGCAGAAGCAGTTAGGGGCAGTCAGGAAGGCAGGCAGGAGAGCAGTTAGGAGCCAGCATTCCTATATTGTGAGAGGGATGTCCCAGATTGGAGAGGGTGCAGGCTGGGCTGAGGGATACCACCAACCCCTCCCCCCTGTGCACGAATTTCGTGCACTGGGCCTCTAAAATATATATAGTCACCAAGCCTCAGAATCCTCATCCATCTCATCTGTAACATGGGGATAAATAACAGCACCTACCCCCATAGAGATGCTGTGGGGATTAAATCATATCTTCCACAGAGAGCCCTAGGTTCAGTGCCTGGTGTGCATAGGATGTGCTCAATAAATGTGAGCTGCTATTATTATTGTTGTTGTTGTTATTATTATTATCCACACCATGGACTGCACTTAAGATTTGGAGGATCCACCAGTGCTTCTCTCAAGAACATCTTGTCCACTTCCCAAACCATTGAACTCCCCAAAAAAGAAATCTGTCAGAGACAGAGCCTCCAGAGCTCCACTTCCCCTAGTTCATTGATTTTTTATAACCATTTGTTTCTGGAGCCTTCAGCAACCAGTCCTGTCTCTTGCTTTCTTTCTTTATCATTCCTCTGCCAAACCACAATGGAACAGAAGTACTTGCATTGTGGTGGTGAATTGGGGGCTGGGCACAAGGTGAGAACAGAGGCCACCACTGAATGTCCAACTTCAGGCCAATTAGCCAGACACGCTGAGAGCACATTCTATGCACAAAGTCCAGGGAATGAGGATGCTTAAGCCTTTGCTAATACTCTCAGTATTTCATGTAGTTTTTAAAAATAACCACATTCTCCTGGGACTCAAGAGTTGGAATGTTTGGCTGGGACTGGTTTGGCTCAATGGATAGAGCGTCGGCTTGGGGACTGAGGGGTCCCGGGTTCGATTCCGGTCAAGGGCATGTACCTTGGTTGCGGGCATATCCCCAGTGGGGGGTGTGCAGGAGGCAGCTGATCGATGACTCTCTCTCATCGATGTTTCTGGCTCTCTATCTCTCTCTCTTCCTCTCTGTACAAAATCAATAAAATATATTTAAAAAACAAAGAGTTGGAATGTTTGTTTGGATTATACTGTAATGGTCTCTGACTTACATTTGTGAGACAGTGTATGTATTTTATTTCTAGCAAAGGAGGTGAAGGTTGGAGTTTTACATATGGCAAGTGAGATGGGGGTCAGCATCCTTTATGAGGAGCTGACTTCCCCGTGTGGCTGATGAAGCTGTGACTCGGTCAAAATGAAGTCTACAGCTGTAGGCAGCCCCACACTCCGACTTCTTGTTAATAGCCAGAATCTCCTCAGTGAGCTTCCATCCCCATTTTATCTTGTTTGCATTTATTTTTGTCTTATGTCTTTTCCTCATTGACAACCCAGACCCTGAGTGAAAGAAACAAGAACATTCCTCATAGGCTCCTACAGAAATGTAGCAACTGCTCAATCTAATTGTACATCCCAAGAGGACGGTGACTTGAGGCAATCAATTAGAACTTGTGTCTCCCCCTTGTCCCCTTAACCCAGGGAGCCACGCACTCAAGACTCCAAATGCCCTGGAAGATAGTTCCTTCACTCGCCTCCCTGGAGAAGACAGTGAGGTGGGAACCCATTGGGCATCTGGACCTGATGTCATCTCAACTCACCCTTTGGGCTTCAGATCTTGCTCTCCTGTTCTTTCCATCCAGTGAAACGCAGTATAGAAACTCTCTTAGTGCTTCCTCCACCTTGCCTAGGGTGGCCAATGCTTGCGCCTTTCTGAAGTGTGCCTGGAAGAAAACGTAAACATTCAATCCCACTCTTATTCACCCTCCTGACACTATTCTTCTTAACACTTATTAACTTCATGAGTATTCTCTACTGCCTGAATCATTTCCAAGGATTATCTTATGCACAGCCCTATCATGCAGGCAACTACGACAAACTCTGCTAAGTAGGAACTTTGAATATCTCCATTTTATAGGTGAGAATATAAGGCACAGAGAGGCTAAGTAATTTGCCCAACGTCACACAGATGATAAAAATAGAAGAGCAGGGACATAAACTCAGGCAGTCAGGCTCTCAATTCTATGTTCTAGAGTCACAGAGCCCAGGCTGCTTGCTATGCAGGTCATCAATGTAGAATCAAATTGGGGAAGAATCCAGTTCCCTTTGTCAAGGGGGACCGGCAACTTTGCAAAGCCTTCTCCTAGGTTTGCTTGAACTCTAATGCCCCATACCCCAAGGGCGGCAGCTCTTCTGGCCATTTCCTTTTAATGCATAACCCCTTCCCATCCCACACTCACCTTAAAGCCCATTGGGCGGAGCTTACATGCTATTTCTGCATCATGCAGTGCATCCTCATGCGACTCCAAGGTGAAATAAATTTGTGACCGGTTACTATAAAGTAAATGGTCATTTGGTGCTGCCAAAATGAGAGAGAAAAAAAAAACCCTCATTAATGGCCCCCAGCAGAAACATGCAAATCCTGTATAAGGATGGATCTTACGCAGATGGCAAGTTTTCTAGGACTTTTCCCCTGGGGACCCCAAAGGGTCATACTCAATTTCTAGCCCTAATGTTGTCCTGCCAACCACATTCCCCTGCAGCCACTATGGGTCTGAGATGCCCCAGCTGTAAAGAAGGGATTTTTCCCCCTCTATTAAGCAGATCCTTAGAGGGCCTGTAGTGTCAGGGGTGCTTCAGTGACTTTGACATGGAGAAAACTCTTGCATGGGGCTATATGGGGCTAGCTATATTGGGCTAGTAACTGACAGCCTGGCTTCTGAGTGAGGTATCACCAACAAGGAAACAGGCCAGGAAGTAGAGAGTGGGAGCTGGCTAGATGTGACCCCCATCATGGCTGCCTGCTGGTCAAACTCCTGGTCGAGGGGAGAATTTGCATATTAGCCTTTTATTACATAGGATATACACTGAGTGGCCAGATTATGCATTCAGAGATCATAATAATCTGGCCACTCAGTGTAGATGGTCAAATGTGAATGAACCTGGACAAAGCATCTGAGAATAAATTGAGATTGGCTCTCAATAACACTCTGAATCACTACATGTCAGGGCTGGGCAAGCCTTTTAGAAATCATCTAGGCCAAAGCAGGTTTGGCTCAGAGGTAGAGCGTCCGTCTGTGGACTGAAAGGTCCCGGGTTCGATTCCGGTCAAGGGCATGTACATTGGTTGCGGGCACATCCCCAGTAGGGGGTGTGCAAGAGGCAGCTGATCCGATGGCTCTCTCTCATTGATGTTTCTAACTCTCTATCTCTTTCCCTTCCTCTCTGTAAAAAATCAATAAAATATATTTTTTTAAAAATCATCTAGTTCAATCAACCGATTCTTCAGATGAGGAAAATCAAGCCCAGGGAGAGAAAAATCAAGTCCAGGGAGGGAAAGGCATCGTCTGAAAGTCACACAGATAGCTAGTCAGACTTGTTAACTGTCCAAACTTTTCATCTGGAGTGAGGGGGCAGGTTCCTTTTTTTCTGAAGGGTGGTACAGTATTTAGAACGAGGAAGAGAGCATGGCCATCTTTCAGTACAAATATATTCTTTGTTGGAGAGGCCCCTTTCTTCCTAGAAGGGTGAAGTGGTCTAGACATTTTCACCCTGACTGCTCTGACCATTCAAGAAAGAAAACACACACACACACACACACACACACACACACACACACACACACAAAACAAACAAACAAACAACAACAAAAAAAACAAAACCAAAAAAAACCCCCAAAAAACAGAAAAAAACTGGCCCTTGTCTGCTGGAAGGAATGGAACCTCTCTTGGAGCTTAAGTGGCCTCCACCTGTCTCCTTCATATTGCCCTGCTCTTCCCCAGGGACCAGACTCCAACTTCTGTTGCGGGAACAGGTTTTGTTGGTTTTTCCCTCAGGGGTGTGCTGAGGGTTTGTGTGGGTGCCGATTACTTGCTCTTAAGACATTAGCAAACAGTTTAAAGTCTTGTCTATCTCTTTTTTTCTGCAGCACATGACAGCCCAGGGGCAGCTCAGTGTGTTTGTGTGAGCACAGGGTGTGTGTGTGTGTGTGTGTGTGTGTGTGTGTGTGTGTGTGTGTGTAGGGAGTCCCCATCTCCTTCAGGTGCCAGTCTTGCCCAGCCCACCTTAGTTCCTCCCCTACTCCCAATACCTGTTGCTAGTTCTGGTTTAGGTTCCACACATGGAGACTCCAACCCAGCCCCTCTTCCACCCATCGAATCCCAGAGTCCTGTCTGCCCAGCCCTGCTGCCTCCTTCCTCCCCACATGCTTCTCCAGACACCATGTCCCATTAGCAGAGCTCCTAGCAGCAGTCTGCCTGAACTGGGCAACAGCAGAGGCCACTTCCTGGGTTCAGATGTGGGGAGGAAAGGGTAGGGGAAGCCTCTCCCTGCTGGAACTCAGAGCCACAGGCATAGGGCTGCCCACTTTGTCCTTGAACCCACAAAGTCCACCCATCCATCTCCAGGCAGCAGGAGAAAGCGGGACAGAGGCATGTCCCCTTCTCAGCTCGCCCACAGCCTTGAGATCCCTGAGCAGTTTAAAGGCCAGGACGCAGGCAGCAGGCTAGAAGGGGAGGGGGGCATCTATTTCAGACAGGGATCCTGTGATAGGAAGCGGTGACAATGAGTCACAGGGCAGCGGGGCACGAGCGCTCTTCCCTCCTCCCTCTCCCCCCTCTCCCCCCCATGCTCGCGGGATGGTTTCCGTGGCAAGCGTGGCCCACTTTGGTTACCTCAGCCGTTACACAATCCCGCCCGCCCGTCAGCCCTAGCGAAGGAGGGGCCACCCAGCCAAGCCTGCTGGCGGCCCTTATGCAACCAGTGCTCTCCTGACCTAATTCCACGCCGGACCCAGTCCACTCGGAGCCGTGGCCCAGGAAGGGACACTTCCCGGCCCGCAAGAGCGGCCTGGGCTGGTGGGACAGCAGACACAGGTGCCTAGAGAACACCTGGGGCTGGCGGAAACCCAGAGGAGCCTTGCGAGGGTCGGAAGGGTGCGAAGTTTCCGTCTGGGCAGGGAAGGTGCAGGCAGGTGTAAAAGGGAGCCCAGGCATGCAGAAACAGAGGGAGAAGGAGAGAAAGAGAAACAGAGTCGGTGACACTGAACAACAAACGGAGTGACAAAGGTGCGAAAGACAAACAAAAGGAGAGCCAGAGCCAGTGTGCCACAAACAGAAACGGAGATGCAGAAACACAAGCTAACAGGAGACAGAAAAAGACGAAGAGCAACAGAGACAGAGGGGCAGAGAGAGACACAAAGAAAGAAAGAGAAATTGGTAGGGGCAGAGGAAAAGTCCAAGAGTGAACTCCAGAAACCCCTCCCCCACTCCGGTCTCGGTCCATCCCGTGGTCCCCTGAGCACTCCTGGGCTCTGGACCATCCCCCACCTCCCTGTGCCTTCACTGCCAGGAGATCGCGGTGGGCTCACCTAGTTTGACTGCTTCGTTGTACTTGAGTAGTGCCGCCTCCACCTGGCGCTCGCGGTACAGCCGGTTGCCCTCGTGGCGGAGTTGCGATGCCCGAGCTCGAGCAGGGAACAACTTGCCAAGGAGACCGCTGAGCACCACATTGACCCGCAGCGGCGGCGGCGCCTGCTGCCCAGCCCTCCGGGCTCCGCGCGCCAGCCCGGTGGCCACCATCAACGCTGAGAGCTTGACCCCGCACAAAGCACAGCGCCGGTCGGCTGCCCGCCCGCGTTCCAGGCAAACTTTACAAAAGGTGTGGCCACACGACAAGGACACGGGGTCCCACAGAAACCCGTGACACTTCCGGCACTTGAAGCCATCCCACAACTCGGTGGCATCAGTGGGGTTTGCCACCCCTGCCTCTTCCGCCCCCACCACACAGCTTGCAGCGCTGCCCCCGACCGAGGGCGCTGGCGCTAGCTCCTCTCCTGTCCGAATGTTCTCAGCCAGGCAGCGCACCAGCTGCTGCAGTTGCTCAGCCACCAGCTGCTGCCGCTCCGACAGCTGTCGGTATACCTCGAGGGCTTCCCGGAGGCGCCCCCCGGACGCCAGGGCGTCTGCCTGTGTGAGCAGGACTTTGCACTCGGTCGTGGAAGCCGGAGGAGGCTGCTCTGGCTCCCGCAGAGGCAGAGGTGAGAGACCTTCTGTAGCTGCCTCCGGATGGCCCGAATCAACACGGGGCACTGATGCCGCTGGCTCCGCCAGCTCTAAGTTGTTGCCCGTGAGCTCAGTGGGCAAACTCGGCATCTGTTCAGCCTGAAATAAATCCATTAAAGGAAGGACAAACTCGGGAAGAGGCGTCTAGGGGCCGGGGACCCAGAACAGGGAGCGGTGGCTGGAGGGAATTGGGGCTGCCACTGCTGTCGTGCTGCCGCACACCGGTCCCTGCCGCGCCTCCAAGAGCTCCATGCCGGCCGCCTCGCGCCGCCTAATAACTGTCTTGTCTCAGCAAAGCGTTATATAAAACGTCACCACGTGACGAGCCGCCACGCTGCTCATTGGCCAGCGGCAGGGAAATTGTTACAAAACCAGACAGTTTTGTAAGAGTGTTGCGCTTGGGTTTTTTTGGCTTAGTTTTTCTTGGCTTCTTTTTGAGGTTGTTTGTGTTTACACTGTCTTATTTCCCCCTGACAATGTGCTTCCTTTTCGGACGAGGGGGAGAGGAAAAAACAAACAAACAGTGTTTGTTCCAGGCTCGTCACTCCAAACTACCCTATCCCACTTCCAAACCTGGCAGCAAACAGATCCATTCGCTAGCGGCCCTCTCCCCACTCTCCTCACCGCCCCCCGCGTCCCTCTCCCCACCTTCCTTAACCCCCAGGTATCTCGGGCAGCACAGTCAGCTAGGTCTTTTGGTACGACCAGTCTCTTCCTTCTAGGGTTGACCACCACTGTCTGCAAAGAGAAGCGGGTTAGGAAAGGTCTCCAGGAAGACCCTCACCCCTGTTCCGGCCCCCTGCCCACCTTCTCCCGAGAGTCCTACAAAAGTAGTGAATACAGTTATGCGAAGGCGTTTGGTATCCAGTTCTAGAAGCGTCACGGAACGCTGGTGGTGTAAAAGTTCTGTGGCTGGAGCTGAGTTGTGGGGGACGCGTGAATATGTGCTCACCAGCTCACGCTAGGACGTTGGCGACCAGCGTGCCCAGGCTCTTCACCTCTGGAATCTGGAGAAGGATTTGGCCGGCAGGGGGGCACCCGCTGGATGGGCGCCAGCCATGAGGACTCTGCCTGCGGGGGTCAGTGGGTACTCTGGTGGGTGTGGAAGCGCAGCCGGCTGAGAAGGACCGGAGAGCACCACTCTGAAGAAAGTCTTCTAGTCCTGGCTTACTCCAGCGCCGGCCAAGCTGTCTCCAGTTTCACCACTCCAGAGCCCTGAGTTCAGACATCCTGGTGTGTGTCGGGGGGGGGGGGGGGGAAGGGGAGGAGGAGAGGGGTGTTGTGCGCGAGACAGTAGGGTTGCACACAAACTGGGGGATTAGGCTTGCGGTGGCTAGGAACCCTCAAGTGTGCCCGGATTACGTACAGAAGGCCAGTGTGAACCGCCCACACTGTCTCCTTCCAAACCTCACACTTCAGATGGGAGCCACAGGCACAAATATTCCAGCAATGCTTAGAGACCTAAAGGAATAACGCACTTCCACCAACTTCACGCTGAGCAGAGGAGGGAGGCGGGATCTGGGCTTGCCTCTGGCTCAGTCAGCCTCCAGATCTGCGGGCTCTGGACAGTGCCTGGAGCAGTGCCCAGGGCATAACGCTCCCCTGGGACCTGAGGACCTACAGTTGGCTCCTGCTGTGTCCACTTCTTAGCCAAGTGACCTTGAGCAAGTGACTTAATTTCTGAGAGCCATCATTTAGGCTTCTAAACCAATATCAGGGAAGGTCTTAGTTGGGATCAAGTCATGGTTCAGGGCTGGGGACCACAGCCTCTATCTGGGCTCTTTGTTGTTTAGGTCGTTAATCCCTTCTTAAGTCAACACCATGGTAACTGAGAGCAGGTACTGTGCAGCAAAGGGAAAAAAAAAACCAAGAAAATAAATAGAAGAACTCAAGATGTAACCAGGAAGGCATAGGCACACATAGGAAAACTTGTGTTGCAGCCATATTTTTTTTTCATAACCTTAGAACCCTAGGAAAGCCTCAGTTTCTCCTAATTTCCAAGGTTCCCTTCAGCCCTAATCTTGAGTGGCTTCTATCTTAAGACCAGATTTAATGATTCAAGCTCAGCTACTTAAGTGCAAAAGACTAGGCTACATGTTGTGGGTCAGGGCTTGGACAGGGGTGAAGTCTGCAGTCGTGTTGGAAGGGCAGGGGTAGATAGATAGATGGCTGTCAGGCCTGAGCTAGATTTTGAAGGTAAGGAAGTCTTAGGATTGGCCAAGAGGTGGAAGAGATGGGTATACCTGGCAGTAGGGGAGAAGTTAGGGCTCCTGATGACTTGCTGTCTAAAGTGAGCTCCTTTTACCCCTCAGTTTTCCCTGATGTGGATGAGTTGTGTTAGTCCTTTCAAGCTGTTATAACAAAATGCCATAGACTGGATGGATTGTAAAAAACAGAAATTTATTTCTGGAAGTTGGGGTGTCCAAGATCATGGCTCTTACAGATCCATTGTTTGGTCTGAACTTGTTTCCTTGTTCATAAGTGGCTCTTTTTTAATATAACCTCACATGACAGAAAGGGGCAACTGATCTCTCTGGGGTCTCTTTTATAAGGACACAAATGCCATTTGTGAGGGATCCCTCATAACCTAATCATCTCCCAAAAGATTGGGTAACCCCCATTTCCAAATATTCGGGTAACCCCCATCTCCAAATATTATCACACTGAGGGTTAGCTTTAAAAGTATGAATTTGGGAGGGACACATTCGGTCTAATGCTTGCCCCTTCTGGCATCTGTATGGAGGTACAGTCTGTGGTACAGGTTTAGAGACTTTTATGAAAGGGCCATGAGATGGATAATGATGAAAAACTCTTAATTCAAGAACTTTATCCATTTAACAGATTTTTAAAGAGATGTTGGTTACCCAAAATTGTTTTCCAGATGAATATCTGGGATGTACCTTCCTCCCTGGTTCACCTTGACAAGTATGTATCCCAGGGTTGTTTTTTCTCCTGTGCTGATGAGGGGTGGAAAGGCAAGGAGGCCAAACTGGGAAGTGGGTCTCAGTCCTGTAAGCATGCATAGAGATTCTCTCATCAGGTAGCCCCCTCTAGCAGCTGAATTTGCCTAAGGCTAACCATGAACTTAGGAATGTTAGTAGATTCCAGTGTGATGCAGGGTGAACTATGCAAAAGGCAGCACCATCTACTAACTAAGCAAATTTCATGAGAGTTTTACATTGTATTTTCAAATCAGGACTTCTTGGAAGACAACATGAAGTGACTTTCTATTGAATACTGGAAAACATTACCACTGTGGTTTTCTTTACTTCTTTATTTAAAGTAAGCATTACATTGATATACATTTTTAGACTAACTTTGAAGTTTCCTAGTCAAAACTTTCTCCTCTCTGCCCTTACGAATTGGAACTCCCTAGAAGGAGGGAAGAGGAGAGATTGACAACGGTTTGTCTGATGGCATATATTCCTTTTGGAGGGCCTGGTTATTCAAACCTCCATTTATTTTCCTAAGGTTAAATAGGAAAAACAGCAAGTTAATCTTCAACTCCTTTCTAATTGACTGCAGTAAGTGACTGGGCTCTGAGGAACATCTCTGGTGCCCAGAGTAGACCTGAGCAAGCAGCGTTCGAACCTAGCTCCTCTTACCAGGGCTACTTTATATCCACCTGTTTCATTGAAGAAAGGCTTTCCCTTCTTTAAACTAAAAGGTTTGAAAACCATTACAATTAGTACCTATTTTATGTATGTAGAGCACCTTCTATGTGTCAGGTACCGTTCTAGGTATTGGATATGTATCAAAGCAACACTTGACTCCCAGGTTCTCCCTTACATATGGTAGCACATTTTTTCCCCGCACATTTATGTCCCCACTTACCAGGTAGACTAGAAGTTCCATGAGGGCAAGGACTAATGTCTTGTGTCTTTCATCTCCTTCTCAGAAGACAGTACTTGAATTGACTGTAACAAACGTGGCAGTGGATGGGAGTGTGCAGAGGGACAAGAGTAAACCAGCTGGAACTGTCATACCTTTTTCCTGTGACATTCATAGAGGAGACAGTGGGCATGCATATAATTAAGGGTTGACAGTCCTATGCTTGGGAATTGCTGCTAAACAGCTCTGGGATGGAAAAATCTAGTCAAATCCAGGGGCCTAGGGTGAGGAGTGAGCAAAAACCCTCACTCCTACACATGCACACATACTAGGCATGGAAGCTTGGCCAAAACACTTATTTTCTCTTGTATTTCTCATTTTATATAGTGGGGGTGAGCCATCAATTAGGCAGTCCTTACAGGGGGGAAAATTCACTGTGGACATTAATAGCAATGACATAAAAAAGGCTGTCCTTTGCTATCTAGAGTAGCCCAAACACAGAGCTAAAAGAAACTTTACAGATCAACTTTGGTTTCTCAAAGGAGGGAACTGACAGTAAGAGAAGGCAAGTAGCCCTAACTGGTTTGGCTCAGTGGATAGAGCAGCAACCTTCGGACCAAAGGGTCCCAGATTTCATTCCAGTCAAGGGCATGTACTTCAGTTGCAGGCTCCTCCCTGGTCAGGGCATGTGCAGGAGGTAACCAATTGATGTGTTTCTCTTACATTGATGATGTTTCTCTCTGTCTTTCTCTCTCTCTTCCACTCTCCCTAAAAATCAATGGAAAAATATCCTCAGGTGAGGAATACCAAAAACAAACAAACAAACAATAAATGTGATTAAATGTTGAGAGAGAAAGAGAGAGAGAGAGAGAGAGAGAGAGAGAGAGAGAGAGAGAGAGAGAGAGAGAGAGAGAGAGAGAGAGAGAGAGAGAGAGAGAGAGAGAGAGAGAGAGAGAGAGAGAGAGAGAGAGAGAGAGAGAGAGAGAGAGAGAGAGAGAGAGAGAGAGGGAGAGATTTGCTGTAGGTCACAAGGGGAGTTTGTGACATAGCCAGGATTGAAAGCTAAAGCTCCTGTCTCTTTAAAGTTCTTTCCATGTGTTAAGAAAGCTCCCAAAGGACACAGAACACATCCCATAATGAATAAGAAATTATTTCAGATTTCCCAATCACAAAATTCGCAAGTCAACAAATATTCATTTGGGATGATAGAGCTGGCATTTATGGGGCTAATAAGAGAAGGGTATGTCATCGTTCTCTGAGCATAAACAAGTAATCTTTTCTGT